GTACATCTCTAAACTTTGTTTTCTTGAAACTATACCTCTACGCGTGTACTGACTATGTTGAAATATATTCACTAATTTAGCATTGAAATTGTAATATATTAGAAAATTTACTCTTTTTTTGGTAAATTATAATATACTATCTTAAAAAATCATATCAATACAAATAAATCATCTTTTTTAGTGTTTTTGTAATTAATATAACCGAAATTATAATATATATTAGTAAATAGATTATTTCTTGCCGAAAAATTTTGATTTTCTAACATTGCTCTTTCCCATGGCTTACCTTTGATGCTTTTCTCTACACAGGCAAATCATATACTTTACATGGACAGCTTGTGGTGAGCTTATTAATATTCTTTTAAATGTCTTATTTCATTGCAAAAGTTTTTTTACGGAATTTTCAATGAATAAATTTTTCCCTATTCCTTCATATGAGTAAATGGTCGAAAAAAAAGGCAAACTGTTAAATTGTTGACAAAATAGGAAATTCTCTATGAGTATAGATGCATACTATGAGTACATCTCTAACCTTTGTTTTTTTGAAACTATTTCACTGTGTGTGCGTAGTGACTATGTTGAAATATATTCACTAATTTAGCCTTGAAATTATAATATACTAGTAAACTAATTCTTTTTATCTTTTCGTAAATTATAACATACTATCTTAAAAAATAATATCAATACAAATAAATCCTCTTTTTAAGTGTTTTTGTAATTAATATAATCGAAATTACAATATCTATTAGTAAATAGATTATTTATCGTCAAAACTATTTGTTACCTAAAAGTATAAATAGTTATCGTTTATTATATTAAAAATCTGAAAATAATATACAACAATATAATTCAAATTATAACATAATGGTAAATAAATTCATTTTTGTAAAAAAATACAATGTAATGATTTTCTTTTTTATTTTTTTGTATTTTGTATTTGTATTTTTTGCAACTTCTAAAATCCACAACGAAATTGGAAAAAAAATTCTCTATCACTTTTATTTATGAAATTTGAATTATTTAATTGTTCTTGTTTTAATTTTTGCCAAATGGATATGTGTGAAGTAAATATTTTTTATTTAATGCATTAATTATAATTATTTGATACAATATTCAATTTTAAATATTCCTCTATTTAAATAGCATTACAAGGTTTTAACTACCCGCTAATCTTATTTTATCTCAAATAGTATATCATATTTATTTTTTTCTTCCTTGGTTTTAAAAAAATCATAATTATTTAATAAAATTATTCAATTATGAGGATAAAATTCAATAATCTCTAAGACCATGTTTTATTGAAAATATTTATCATAATAAATATGTTTCAGTCATTAATATTAAATATAACGTGCAATGCATATGCATATTGCTAGTTTTCATTTGGGGGACAATTATATTTAATTTATGTCATTTATGTGAGTTTCTCTTCAAAGCAAGATGGAGATTCTGAATATTTTTGGAATGATGCACTCAAATTTTGTAGAGTTCCAAGGTCACAATCCCAAGATTGAGAGAGGGAGATGTCCTAAGCATGCAATGCATGCAAAATTTGAATTAGGAATGTGAGAACTCTGGAATTTTCTTGTAAACATGTCCAACTATATACGGGGTATGTTTAGAGAGGAAAACTTTACTAAAAATGTGTAGAAAGAGTCTAGAAAGGTTGTACAAACTCTATATATCCAGGTACTATGTATTTGTCCTTTAGATGTAAAGAAATATACTAGTTCGATCTTTCGAGTGCATAAACAAAGCTTCTTCCTCCCTACTTCCAACAGGTGGGTCTCAAGATGCTTGCATTGTTGTCAAAAATGGAATGTAGAACCAAAAACCCCTCAAGAAGAAGCTACATTGGATTAAAATCAAAGAAGTGTACTAAAGGAGTTGAGGTTACACAAGAAAATTGTCTTTTTTATTTATCAAGGATGAGAGTACTTTGGAGAAAATTGCTTAGCTGCAAATTCAAAGAAGATATGGGAGATTCTTCAAAACTATTTTAAGGGAGTTGAAAAGGTGAAAAAAGTAC